TCCCATCTGTGGCTTGTCTTCCTCATTCTCTCAACATTGTTTTTCATAGAACAGATGTTTTTCATTTCAATGAAAATCAATGTCTTTCATGGATTGTGTGTTTGGTGTTGTAGCTTTAAAAATTGCAGCCTTATCAAAGTCTCTTAGATTTTTCCTTGATGTTTTATTGTCTAGAGATTTTTTTCATTTTTGTGTTTTCATTTATAGGTTTATAATCCATTTCTGATTGTGTGTGTGTGTGTTTGTGTGCATGCGCGCATGTGCACATGTGAGTGCGTGTACACCAGTCCTGGGGTTTGAATTTAAGGCCTGAGCAGTATCTCTGAGCTACTTTTGCTCAAGGTTAACACTCTACCACTTAAACCACAGCTCCACTTCTGGCTTTTTTAGTAGTTTATTGGAAATAAGACTCTCATGGACTTGTTGCCTGGGCTGACTTTGAACTACAATCCTCAGACCTCAGCCTCCTGAGTAGCTAGGATCATAGATGTGAGCTACTGTTGCCTTCCTCTGATCCATTTTCAATTAAGTTTTGTGAAGGATATAGTGTCTATAACAAGTTTCTTTTCTTTGCCCTTCTTTTCTTCTCTTCTTTCCTCCCCTCCCTCCCTCCCTCCTTCCTTCCTTCCTTTCTTCCTTCCTTCCTTCTTTCCTTCCTTCCTCCTCTTCCTTTTGTTTTGGTATGTGGGTGTTCACACATTTACTGAAAGGATACCTTTGCCAGGACAATCATGGTATTTATGTGGTTCTAGGCCCTGCGTTCTGTTCCATTGATTTATCTATCTGTTCTTTCACCGATATCAAAGCCAGATTATCTTGATTGTTGAGTTTAAGTCCAGAATCTGGGTGGTATCAATGCTCCAACTTTGCTCTTCTACTTCAGTATTGAGTTGGCTACTCTGGCTACTCTGGGTCTTTAGACTCTCCACACAAACTTTAAATTGGCCTATCCACATGCAGATAGAGTCTTGGTATGTAGAGCAAACTGGCCTGGAACTCTTGGTCGTCCTACCTCAATCTGCAGTGTTGTCTATTTTCACACTTAACTTTGGTGTTCTCTGATCTCCTGAGATCCAGGTAGGATCTCAGGTTTAATATCTAGTATTAATTTAAGGCAATTTAAATATTTCTTCTGGTTATCTCTTTTTGATGGCTTAATTATAGTCTGTCATTCTCAGGTATGTATTTATAGCTTTTTCAGTTTTCTCTTTGCTTTTCCAATTCAAGACTCTTCTGTTGGCATATCTTCAAGCTCAGAAGCTTTCCTCAGTGGTGCTAAGTCTACTAACATTCTTCCTATGTGTTACAGAGGGTTTTATCTCCAGCATTCCTTTTTTGGAGAAGTAGCTTTCTATAATGGCTTCCAGTAATCCCCAACCACTGGTCAACCTGGTGTTAGTCCCTCCTCTTGAGTGTAAGCTGGATTCAACAAATAGAAGGCTGCAAAGTGATGGTGTGTCACTTCTGAGATTAGGTTGTAAAAAAAAACCCACAAAAAACCAAAACAAAACAACAAAAAAATGATTTGCATCTTACTGGTATTGTCTGTTTGGCTCTTCTTGTAAGCCTGCCTTGATTGCCTGGGGTAGGGTACTTGGGAAGCCTCTGTCTCACAACCAACCAAGAACTGAGGCCCTCTGTCCAATGATTCAAAAGAATTGGATCCTTCCAGCAGCCATGTGAATGAGTCTCACAGCAGATCCGTCCTCACTCAAGTCTTCAGATCTGGACCAACACATCTGAAGGCAGCCATGCAAGAGGGAACTTGTAAAGCAAAAGACTCAGCTAACCTGTGCCAGATTCCTATTCCACAGAAACTGTGAGATGATGTATGTACTATCCTATGACACTAAATTTGGAGTGGCAGATAAGTAATCTAGGAGCTGAAGGAAAGGAAATGATTGCCATCTAATTTCTGGCTTGAGCAACTAGTAGCCATAAGTGTCAAGATTCCAGAGGGAGACATAGATTTGGGAGGCTAGAGGGTAATAAACACACATTTTGCCTATTAGACGGCCAAGTGAGGTGTTGGGTAAGCCATGATTGCCAGAGTCTGGAATTGCTTTTCCACTGGCATTAGAAGTTATACTTTCCCACCAATCAGAGCAATGAAATCCAAAACCTGGGTTTGGATTAAGGAAGTAAATTAAGGAATCGGTTTGCTTCTGTTTGAGAAAACAGAATCCTCTGTTAGGTTCAGTCTAGCTAGTCCAAGTTCTACTCTAGTATTTCACGCAAAACCCTTGGCTACTACTGAGGCTGCCTTTACCTGGGCCTCATGTTATCCTGGTGCATCTGTTCTAAGAAGGGAGTTGGCAAAGCAGATTTGGGGAATTCTTGTTTCATTGAGCCATATTCCAAAATAACAGTGGCATTTCTAAGTCTAAAGGCCTAAGTTCCAGGTCTTAGCCTTGCCTAATTGGTCTCCATATTGGCCTTTGGCCTACTCAGGACAAGTTGTTTTGTTAAAAATTATGTCCAATAGCCTAAGCTCTGTAATAGAATCTGCCAACTACAGTGTTGACCCAAAGCGTCCTTCCCACAATTCCAGATGTTAGTCTCAGTGGAATGCACCCTCCCCTCCCCCTCCCTCTATGGAGAACCACCAAATTATGTCTGCTCATCTGCAACATCTGCTGCCCACATTTCCAGCTTGCATGCATCCTGCTATTTCCTGGATGCCTGACTGACAAGAGGCTCCAGGTTCGTTTGATCCTCACTCTAGAACTTAAAAACTACAAATGTTTCTAAGGACGTAAGCTAAAATGTTAATACAAGAACAAATCAGAATATAACTTGACTTTCATAATGATGTATAGGGCAACATGGAGTCTGGTAGAAACTCAGGGATGTGTTTTATAACTAGTGTTCTTTCTTCCACAGCTGTACCACAAGAAGAGTTAATAGAGCTCGGGCTGTCAGAGAGAATAATAGGAGAATGTGTTTGAATGGATCAGCTTGTTTCTGGGATGACCTGGAAGAATAGGTAGGAAATTCTGACCTTGAGCTGTCGATTGTGGATGTTACAATCTCTGAAGAATCCATTCTTTGGGTTGTGAAGTAATTACACAAATCTATTTCAAAAAGAAAGTAGACTTTGTACTTAGTATGATACATTTTTTTTCTTTTTTCTCTTATGTAGCCCAGGTTGGGCTCATTTATTATTGTGCTATTTACACACACACACACACACATACACACACACCCTCACTCTCTTTTGTCCCCCCTCCTCCCCACTGGTTCCCATCTTCCAAACAGTTACCCCTTTAGAAATCTATATGTATGGATAATATATATGTGTTGATATAAAATATGTTATTATATATATAAATGAACTTTTTATGGGGCACTTACTGTAAGCCAAGTAGAATGCATTTCCTTGAGAGTACTACTTAATTTGATGTCCACAAATACCATTGTGGCAAGCAGTATTATCCTACCCTTCCCCCTTTTTGGTGCCAGTACTGGGTCTTGAACTCAGGGCCTGGGCTGAATCCCTTAGTGCTTTATTCCTTGAGTCATAGTTTGACTTCCAGCTTTTTGCTGATAAATTGGAGATAAAAGTCTTACAGACTTTCTTGCCTGGGGCTGGATTTGTATTATGATCCTCAGATGGCAGCTTCCTGAGTAGCTAGGATTATAGATGTGAGCCACCCTACCTGGCAGTCTTTTTCATTTTGCAAACAAGGAAATGAAGGCTGAAGAAAGTTCTGCAGTTTGCTGGGGATCACCAGTGAAGCAACAGTGTCAGATTTCAGAGCTAGACTTTGAAATTCATTCTCTAATTATTCTTTAGACTACATGACTCTAGAGTGGTTTTAAACAAAAATTACTGGCCATCACTGTATGGAGAGACTTGTCCTGAGCAAACCAGTTAAAGATGTCCCAGCCTGAGTGAATGTGCTCTCCCATGTACGAAAGTTCCTGATTAAAGAAAATAAATCATGGGGAAAGCACATGGAATGGACAGAAGAACGAGTAACTCGGGGCTTGAGGGAATCCTTTACATGTGTGAACGGAATGGGAGGGAGAGAGTGAGTACTCAAGGGATGGAGGATTGAGGTAGGATAATGGATGGATGGATGGATGGAGGATGGATGGAAGATTGGTGACAATGGATGAAAGATGGATGGGTGATGGATGAAGAATGGATAGTGGAGACTACCTGGCTGGATGATTGATGGAAGATGGAGAGATGGAGGATGAATGGAAGATGAATGGATGATTGATGAAGGATGGATGGTGAATGGATGGAGGATGATGAATGGATAATGGATGGTAGATGGATGGATGGAGGATGGATGGATGACGGATGGGTGATAGATGGAAGATGAACAGAGGGAGGATGGATGGATGGAGGATGGAGGATGGAAGATGGGTGGAAGATGGGTGGGTGATGGATGAAGAGCGGATGGATGGAGGATGGAGGATATATGAATGGAAGGACGGATGGAGTGGTTTGAATTTGCACTCCCTGAGGTCCCAGCGCCTCGTGGCCACGGGTGGGCAAGCCAGCCGGGCGGCTACTCCACACAGTACGGTAGAGAGAGCAGCTCCTCCTGGAGGCCCACTCCTCCCCGCCCTCCTCG